TTTCGGCCACAGCAACCAGCAACGTCTCAAGATAGCCAGCTCTTCGAAGACGAGCCACAGCGCCTCATGTCCCCGCATGGAATGGGTGCCTGCTAAAGATGCCTCCCCCCTCCTCACCCCAAATTACTCATACTAAATTCTATCCACGCTTTCTTTGCCAATGTCTGGTAGGCGACAGCGGTCCCACGCTGCAACAAAGTTATTCTTCGGGGCGAGTTCTGGGAATGTGGCATCTTCGAAATGAAAGAGTAACGAGTAACGTGGCACCTCCCGTTACCGAAAAATATTAACGGAAGTACGTTACCCTCTACAGTTTCGAAATTGTAATGAGTGCGTTACTAAGTTACCGAAAAAGTGACGCGTTACCGGTAAAAACGTTACTTGTAACGCGTTACCGCCAACACTGAATGTCAGCGTCTTATTAACATAAACGCTACGCAAACGCTGGCAGTACAAATGCTACGAACCCGTTTTAAACACACTGCATTGAGGTGGTGGCATGTCACGTTCAAGTCAAGGAGGTGGGGGCCCAGTCTTTAGGGGCGAACATAAGCGCGCATGCCTGCAGCTTTTGCTGACAGCTGCTGACGCCGAAGTGTGATATTGTGGGGAATCCGGTTGCTAGGGGCATGCGCGCCCGCAGCTGTTGCTATGGGAGAGGGCGGTGAACGGATTGCGACGGACGCCTGACATAGACCGAATAATAAATGAATTCGCATTTAACATTAGAGTAATGTTTTGTTGGCTAGTTGTAACTGCTCAATGGCCTTTGGCGTGCGTTTAGGCATGACCACGGATACAGGAAGGCACGCAGAAAATCAAACAACAGTGTCCATCATGCTTTTGTGGTTTGTGTTCCTCCGAGTGTTTCACCGGGTTTCTCTATACGATAAGTGAACATAAAGAGGAATCATTGCGTGCCCTCCTATACATAATCTGTTAGTACACTAGATCTTTACTTCTTAATTTCCTAGATCTTTACTTCTTAATTTCCCCAGTCCACAGTGTTGCATAACATAATAATAAACTTAATAAATAATGCAAGCAGTCCTATTATTTTTATTGCACTCCACAACGCCATGTGAATATAGCCATGTCTTTCAATATAGGCTGTTGAAAGCAGATCAGCAATGCAATACCAGCATTATTCTATCATTCAATAAAGATTTGAGTGTGGGGCCTGAAGTTGAAGGCTATGATGAACGTTCGTGTTGCAGTGTGTCGGTGGTGCTACCCGGTGAGCGAGATTTGGGTATCGAGCCAGAGGACCCACGCACTGCTTCTCTCGTGCGAGCCTTCCGCCGCGAGTTTGGCGTCGGCCAGCCTCGGCGGCTTGCTGACGACTTCGAGCTGTTCCCCATTGAATCGCTGGTCTTCGAGCAGTTAGCATGGGACGCACCGGCGCGAGAGCTGCGTGCTGGATCGGTGCGGGTGATGCTCTCACATGCGCCGGTCATACCTCTGCTAGATGTGCGGCTAAACTGGACCGTGACCATTGTAAGCCCCGACGTAATCTTCTCGGCTCATGAACTGGCTTCCGCTCTCGTCCGAACTACAAGGTAGGCGCTCCTATCAGCACTTTTGATGAAAGCGTAAGCACTGCAGTATGAAGGCATGAGATGGGTGTTATCGCCCGTAGGGTTTACTTTCTTCAAAGGTGAAGCGGTTTCTTTGGCTATGAAAAAAAGCGAAAGCACTTATGATGCCAAAATTACAACGCCATAGTTGGCTGACGCCACCGCTAATGTCTAAAAACGCTATCGAGCCAATTAAGAAAGAAAAAGTGTAATAAGTAAGAACACCCCGGATGGAATGGGATTTTCAACCAGGGCACTTGCGTGGTCGTTGACTATTCTACTCCGCAGTCACGCCAGTGTTTGAAGCCTCTAAGAAAAATGATCCTATACTGGTGTTATATCTGGCAAGGAATCGCGTTAACTTATGTAATACAGCGTGGCAGAAGAGTAAATTATTGAGGCGTGGCCAAATGCTGATAGCACTAAGAGTGCACTTCGCTCACACACTAGGAAGTTATTTTCATCCTCAGCAGTCACACCCATCGTCCACAAAGTGCACGTAATACCTCAAAATGTGTATCGGGTACTTCACTTGTAATCAGAATGAAGAACGATAATATAACGGCTGCTTCCCTTCTTAACAAAAATTATGAGTTAGGGGATAGTGGATACATCGCATGTGTACCTTGCCTTGGTTGCCTTATGGTATTTTACACCCGAATGCAGAGGTGTTACTTGACTCGTTCTTGACTCAACACAGTCTGGCCACTCGCCATACATAGTTCTGGAACTTGCGGACGACTTGAAGGCGACTTGGCTAGGTCGAAGTCAGGACAAGTTTTAAGTCAGCTGCGGGGCTAGCTTGAAAGCGACTTCATGTGTTATTCCAACATGGTCACCTCTCGAATGGACATCACGCGGAGGATGACCGCTTTTGAGTTCACATGCCACGCCAAGGATGATGTGTTTTAGGAGGCACATTACCTGCCGAAGATTCCACGGCCCACCCTTCGTGACCGAGATAATTCTATAGAGCTGTACGACGAGGAACAATTCCACGCTCGCTACGGGTTCACGAAGCACGCCGTGTGGCAGCTTCTGTCTATGCAGCCGCTCCAAGAAAGCGGGGACAATCGAGGTTAGCCTGTGCCTCCTATGCTGCAGCTGTTGATGGCACTTAGAATTTACAGCGCTGAGACATTTCAAACAGTGACCGGGGACCTCGTCCACATTCCGCAGTTTACAGTGTGCGTGCAGTCGAAAATGTGACCATGCTCATCCCAAAGCATTTGTACTCCACAGTGGTGCGCCTTCCGTAGCCCGCGTAATTTCAACAAGTTAAGCGGGTCTTTTATGACGTGGCCGAATTTCCTGGCGTGATGGGATGCATAGACTGCATGTTCGTGCGGATGAAAAGCCCCGGCCGAAGTGTTCCGCAACCGCAAAGGCTATTTCTCCTTCAATGTGCAGGTAAGCAATGAAGATTGAAAGTCTCTGCAGTTTAGTTCGTTCACATTTTTTTTATCAATTCTCGGGTCGTAAACTTCTTTCCATATACAATCAACGTGTTTATGTTCAGCCATGGTTGTCATGCACTGGCGAAATAAATAGAGTGAAATAATAATGCAGCAGTCATACGAGGGGCCCAGCACTCGCGCCTTTGTGCCGTGTTTTGCTGGAGGTTTAGCTCCGGAAGACAGGTTTCGTGAAGGTTTTCAAAAGAACACTACTGTCTGCGTTTTGTGGTTACACTCTGATCGATCGTGACTCAGCGCAACAACATGCACTTCTGCTGCGCGTGTAGTTTATACCAAACCGCAAAGTGATAGGCGCTGTACAATGCCCTGTTCATGATCATTGGTATATGCTGGTGCTTTGCTGCAGGATGTGGCCGGACCAAAACTCCAGTTTTTTGACATTGTTGCCGGCTAGCCCGGTTATGTTCATGAAAGCGTAATTTTTGACGACTCCCACTTGCGGGTGCTGTCGGAAGAAAAACAGGAGCCCGGAGTGTTGTTGGGTGACGCTGGACACGCATGCCAGCCATATTTATTCACACCGTTTTCAGAACGAGGTCCCCAGGACACACCCAAGGGGAGGTTAGTTCACGTGTCAGTGCATGGTCACAGAAAAACGGAACATGGTTTTGTGTTGTGACATTGAATCAAGTCGCTTGTGGAGTGATGCACAATATCCCTTCATTACTAAAAAGCCCAAATAAAGACTCGGAATGCCATTCAGAGGGCGTTCAGCGTGAGGAAAAGGCTTTTGCCTTGCCTGGACATGAGAACGCAGCACAATGCCAAAAACATCGTGCACATAATCACAGCTTGTGCTGTACTCCACCACTTGGCCTGCATATTCAGGGAACCAGAGCCACAAGCTGAAAGGGTTCCAGAGCCTTTCCCCATCTATACAGTGGCAACGAGAACAGTGCACGTCCCACCTGCAGATCGCCTTGCCGACAGCCGTTCAGGAAATCAAGCACGGTACCTGCTCATACGTAAGAGCTTCACATAGGCAAAAACTGCATGTATCTTGACACCTGGTCATACATCCTCTTTTAGGGCCACTGTTCACGCCAATCTCCTTATCATTCATACATAAAAATGTACACTCACATGCTTTCAATACTTTATGACAGATCCCATCATTTATTTTAGAAATTAGGCACATTACATTGCAGCCTGCGGAGCTGTTCCTTCTTTCATTCTTTTTCAATCTACAGTATTTCAATCTCAAGTTGTTGCTTTGCAACCTCACGTTAAAGAATCCCAGGTGATCGAAATTTCCGGAGCCCTCCACTACGGCGTCTCTCATAATCATATGGTGGTTTTGGGACGTTAAACCCCATACACAATCAAATCAACCTTGTTTCTGTGCTTTGAAAGCTCGAGCTCTCACACTTGATTTTCAAGCTTTCTTTTGCCAACCCGTTCCAGCATCATGTAATCGTGGTCCTACTGCAAAAGCCGGACATGAACTGCGTGCTCTTCTTGTTGGAGTTCTGCAAGAATTGCGTTTTCCGTGGCCAGCGTCTTCTCCAGAACAGCCATCTGGCCCCTAGGTGTCCTGCATGCTTCAGCCGCAACAGTTGGTGCAGAAGTGCTACTTCTAGCAGCTCCGGCGGCCTGGTGGCTGTTTGCACAACCTTCCGCAGCAGTGTTCGCTTCGGCATGAGGCTGTGCTATAGAAGTGCGTCTGCTGTCTTCGTTGACATCTGTGCCTGTTCACAGCTGTGACGACTGTACAGGGGTGGCACCTTGCCACAGATTGCCAGCAATAAAAAAAAGATGGCATAATGGTACTAGCGGAGCATTGTCTGTGGCGCAAATGCCTGTAAACCAGTGCATGTGGAAAAGAGATATTTCTGAAAAATACAAATCGTTAAGTTTTGAGGAGACCATCATTACGCCTTAAAATGCAACACACCATAACACACCATACCTTGGCAACCGTAGTTCGCTTCTTCTCGACCATCAGTCATGGCTGCAGCAGTCTTACGACAGGGAGACTTGCGACGCGGGGCTGGTGCCCTGCGGCATCAGAATCAAAGGCGTTTTCCACCCTTGTCACCATGTGAGCTGCCATTGACCCAACCAATTCGTAATTAAGAACCATGGCGGAAGGCGCCGATTCCCCTCCTAATCAGAAATAAAGTTTCAATGCAGAATGAAGCACGTTTTGATAAACATCTTGTAAAAAAAAACTCTGCGGTTTCAATGTTCCTCTCTCCTAAGTTGAGTGCAATTCCGTTCACTTGGTTCAACTGAAAGAAAAAATTGCAATACATTGCGTAGAACGAACATTAGCGCGCTTATATGCTTTTTGAGTAAAAAGTCCAACTACGTCAGTTGTCTACAAATTTATCTTAATAGGTTTCTCGAAAACACTTTGCACTGATCACGCATTTTATAGGCCAACTTCAAGACAGTTTTTCGGAGCAAATCTAATATTGTGTGGTTATTTTTCCGCCATGCGCTGCAAAATCTAATGGGCATGACTATTTGCACTCAGCACTTGCATTTCTACCAACTACAAAACATATGGCAGATGAAAAGTGAGCCAGTCATGCATAACATATTCAGCTTACCAGTTTTATGGCGCTCTCGCTTTTCTCTGGCAGTTTCCTCTTTCCACTTCTGCTTGAGGTTATTCCAGCACTTCTTGAGCTGCAGGTGGTCGTGCCGGGTGGTTCCATGATAGGCATTGTAGCGCTTGGCAATTTATTTGCATGTTTCATTTTGTTTCGCTATCGACGCTACATCAGTTTTCTTGCGCTCGATGATGTACTTGAACTCTTTTACGAGAGAGACATGCACAGCCTTTCGTCTTCAGTGAAGCGCGATGCCACCCTGCGTTGAGTTGTCTCTTGGGAGTTGTCTCTTGGATAGCGTACTTTGCTGCGACATCTTGGAGCGAATAGTCCCTCCTCCTTGGCTCGACGATTTCGCTCAAAAAAGTGACGCGGTGTGGTGTTGGGCCTTGCTTCCTCAAAAGACATTTCAGAAATTTTTGTCTCGTTTGGTGCAGCCCTGTGGGGTTGAGAAAAACGCCGGACATCCATCTGCAGCACAAAGCTACAAATACTTAATAAAAAAGCTGCTCCTATTCGGCGTTTCTTCACTGACTAGAACGCGTTTTTTCGTAGAAACACGAATGCTTTCTTTGGATTTCCTCCTAGCTATGCATTACAAAAGGGTGAATGAACCCTTCGTTCACCTCGCAGGCACGTGCCCTTTTCATTGTTCTTGACAAAGCTCCCAGCAGATATTCTGAGGATGACCGTGATCGTGCCCTCCCCTCTGCTCCTCACTATAGAACATGCAAAACAAATTTGTATCCCTTCCTCCGTCCGCTCGGCGGTCGCATTTTGGTGGAGTCAAAATGATCATGGCCTTGTCCCATATCTGCGAACAATAAGAACACCAGGTGGTCACCATTCCCGGGGCCAATTCATAAGGCATCCTTCATGATACCAAACCCTGGAGCCCCGCCACGGTTGTCTAGTGGCTAAGGTACTCGGCTGCTGACCGCAGGTCGCGGGTTCGGATCCCGGCTGCGGCAGCTGCATTTCCGATGGAGGCGGAAATATTGTAGGCCCGTGTGCTCAGATTTGGGTGCACGTTAAAGAACCCCAGGAGGTCGATATTTCCAGAGCCCTCGACTACGGTGTCTAACACAATCAAATAGTGATTTTGGGACGTTAAACTCCACATATCCATCGATCTATCACCCAAACCCTGGATTTATAACACATGTGCTCTCTGCTGTAAAGCGTGCTAATGACAATGCAGACACGAAATAAAAACTACATAAATATTACCATTATGACCCCGCCCCGCTAGAAAAAGAAGTGCCGTAGAAGCCCGTGATCCTCATCCGCACTTTTTGTCTTCCCAGTAAACGTAGACAGTCTGTTAGCATCTCCGATTCAATTTAGCTTTTTTTGTCGGGTTACGACACCCACATGTGTGTGCACAGGGGCTTTGTTCACTGCGTTTTTAGTACTTGTTGCTTTTTATTCAGGTATAACTACAACGTAGCCCGCTATAGGCATGTCCACAGGCGTGTAGAAATGCGAGTATGACGAGAAATCGCTATGCTTTGTTAACACTTGCGACCCAGAAAATGCATATTCATCCCACTGCGCTCGACAGCAAATTACGATGAATGATGAAGAGCTGCAGAAACGTGCCCCTTTTGGGTGACCACGGAAACCAGCTGAAAAAAACACGCTTGTCACAAGCCACACTGCGAGTCACAGCGCGGTGGGCATCACGTGGGCGTCATAAAGCACTCGGTAGCAGTAAAACGACAAAAATATGCTTCTAGCACTTTTAGTAGATAAGCATTTTGAGATATAAGATCTTTTTTTTTTGCTTTGACACCTGCCTTACGAAAAGGCTAGCAGCGTGCTTCTGCATTGAAGGTCGTTCTTGACTTGACCAAGCAAGACAGCCTGGGCATCCATGAAACGCGAAGGCTGACTTGGGCGTTTTGTAGTCCACTGCTTGCTTCACGCCGACTTACTCAAGTCAATTCGAAGGCACAGCCATGTAACATATCTGTACTCGGGGGTTAGTGTAGGTAAAGTGAGCTAGAATAGGGTAGCAGGCTCACTCGCCGCCAGCGCCATGCATTGCGGTGACGCCGGCAATGTCACACAAACCTGTTTCGGCGCACCTCCGCGGTGCGGCGCCACCGCCGCATTAAATGTAGCGAGTGCTGGCGCTGGGGCAGTTGCCGGCTCTTTGGAGTGGCGGTCGGTGTGTGCGAGTTTTGTTACTTTGAGAACTCGTCGCGCTTTGCATCATCAATTCCCTAGGTTCTTCAGCGAACAGTCATGTGGCCTTACAAGCAGTGACCCTCAAACGAGGCTAAAATGTTTCCGCGGCGGCAAAACCACTGTTTTGCGCCAGGCTGTCGTACAGGTTACGTCCACGTGAAGGGCAGCAAGAAGCCATCTTTGTTCGGCGTTCCGAAGGATGCAGCCCTGAGGAAGCAGTGGGAAAGAAATTCGCGTCGAGAGGACAAAGCCCTGGACGACACATCTGCCGTGTGTGACCTTCATTTTGAGCCGAAGTATGTGCTACGGGACTACGTGCATATAATCGAAGGGAAAGAAGTACGTACACCACGTGGGAAACCTTGCCTACGAAAGGACGCTGTGCCAACAATCCTGCCTAGGTTAGCGTCATATTTCACAAAAAAGACACCACAAGAAAGACCGACCCGAAAGAGAAAGTGATCGGGAAGCATTCAAGGCGAGATGGTACGTTCTAGTACCATTGGCGCTACTGTTGCTGGCTGCGCCGTAGACTCGACGGAAACGCCTGCGACATGTGCCCAGCTTGTGAAAGTGCATCCAGACGATATATCGGGTGATCTACACTCTGTTGCAGAAAGCTAAAACTATAAACAAGCCAGCACAAACTTGTTCGGATCATAGAGACTTCCTTCCCTGTTTTGGAGCGAGCATCAGTTCCCGGATAACGACGGCATATTTTACTGTGCACAACCGTGCTGACTGCAAAAGTCAAGGTACAGTCAGAAAAAGTAGTGATGTTCGTTCTCTCTTCGTCTGACGTCTATTGCAAGGTGTACGCTAGAGGTACCTTGCTGAAAGAGGTGCTAGTGCGAAGTGAAGCCGAGGCTGAGACAATCCTTGAAGAAACAAACTCTGTAATGTCATGTGGTGGTGCCATATCACAAGAGGATTATGAAGATAAGTGGTTCACTCAAAAACTCAAAGGCCAAGTTGTTTCACGCCACGGATCCTACTTCAGCAGGAGCTGTATGACAAAGGTTGCCAAAAAAGGTAACTATCTTGTGACGTCTTTTAACATAACATGCACGCTCTCCCAAACTATATGCTATTTTCTGTCACACTTACCAATGTAATTATTTTTCTTTCGTTTTCCAGGGGCACAGTGCGTCTCTTGCAAATATTTGAGGAGGGTCGTTATTTGAAATAACGACCGTCGCTCATGCGACGGTCGTTAGTTCAGAGCCAGCGTGTCAAGAGCTGCTCTTCACATAAGCGAAAGTTCAGAACTGTCATCTAGAAGAACAGGCGTCTTGTTCGTCGTCTTTCATGTGTCAAGGAAAACCTTGCCAAAATGCAAAAAAATGCAGCGCTTAAAACAGAAACCCTCACAAAACACATCATGTCTCTTCCACCAAGACAATGAGAAGTGTCAGACAATGTTCGCTGCTGCCAAGGTGAAAAAAATGCGGGCAAAGGTATATAAAAATTGGATATTGGAATGTGTAATAATGAAGATGAAAAGTCCTCGCCTTCATGAGCATCTTCGGAAGAACAACATATTATCTCTCCCCCAGCAAGTCCACGTTAAAGCGCTACGTGACTTCTCACCGCACGTGTTTTGGCTTTAATGAAAAGGTATTGAGGCAACTGAAAGAAAAGACGGGCAACCTTGATCTCTGCAAACGGCATGGTGGCCTATAGATTGACGAGTTCAAATTGTCGAAGCATTTGGCAGTGAAAAAGACTAGGGCAATCGAGGGCTTCGTAGATTTAGGACCCTTCACTACAGGAGCGCGCAAAGGCATACCTTCCGACCATGCACTGGTAATCCTTTTTGTACCTTTCCAAGGTAAATGGAGCCAAATTATTGGATGCTCCGCCACCAATGGCAATGTGAAGGGGGACATTCTTGCAAAAGTGGTTGTTGAGGCAACAATCCTGGCAGAAAAAAGTGGACTCTTCGTCGACTTTGTTACCTGCGACGGCGCCAGCTGGAACCCAAACATGTGGAAGAGATTGGGCATTGGAGCAAGTGCGAAGTCAACGAAGTGTAAGGTCCATCACCCAACTGATGCGTCTCGGCACCTCTACTTCGTGTCGGACTTCCCGCATTTAATCAAGTGCCTAAGAAATTCACTGTTGAAGACGGGATTGAACACCCCAGCGGGCCATGTAAGTTTTGCCATGGTCCATATAGTTACATTTGTTGTCTATTTATTCATGCATGAAAATATTTGCATGCACGATTTTAAGCGTTTTAACACCCTGAGCGGTTTCGCTTTTTTCATTGAGGACAAGACTGTGCATCTTCTTATTAGGCTGTTACGTATAGTTTAAAAATATGATGCAACTATATGGATATGATAGCAATTCATCACAAGTTTCTGCATTTCTCCAGGTCACCATACAACATGTTAAAGAGGTCCACAAGATTGACTCTTGCAACGTCACTTTGAAAGCCATGCCAGGAATCACGATGTGCCACATTGAACCAAATGGCTTCGAAAAAATTAGAGTGTCGTTGGCCTTTCAGCTCTTTGGGCTGAAGGTTATTCAAGCACTCCATTTATATAAAGAACAGCTGGGACGCATATGGGGAAGCATAACTCCGACACAGCTCTTTTCCAGGTGAGGCAGCATTTTAATCATGATTCAAGGTGTAATTTTTCCAGAACAGTTTTGTAAAAGCCGTTACTAATGCTATTAAGTTTGTCACTACAATCAAATATACATTCACTTTCGGCAAGGTACACAGCGTGATATGAGCAATGACGTCCCGGTACCCAGCTGAAGCTCTTCGCCCACGATCAAGAGAAGTCGATTTGCTGAAGGATTTCCTGGTGTACCTAAATGAATGGGAAGCTCATGCAAAGAACACAGTAGGCTTCCGGAGTGACTCCACAGTGACTGGACTGCGTGTGACTATAACCGGTGTGCTAGAAATGTTTTCTTATTTGACAGGGAAAGTAGCATTGAAATATATATTGACATCAAAGACCAGCCAAGACCCATTAGAAAATTTATTTGGTATTATACGTCAGTCATCCGGCAGCAACGACCATCCCACGCCAACTCAGTTTTTGCTAACCATTACTTGTCTGTCATTCTATGGTCGCGTGAAAACAGCCAGGAGAATTGTGACCAGGGCGAGCTAGCTTTATTGCTGGAGATCAATGCTGCTACTGACACACTGCCACAAGGCAATTGAGTTGGCAGTGCAAGCACTGTGGATGAGCCTGGTTTTGTGCCAGCACCCATTGACCACAACCAGCATATTGCTAGAAGTGATTCCAGACTGATCTTTTATGTTGCTGGCTATATTGCGTGAAAGTGTGTCATGAAAACAAACTGCGAAGTCTGCATAGCACTACTCACGATGCCAGCTCAAGAAGATTTTCAGCCCTCTCGTCTAACCACCTTTTGTGACAAAGGTGGACTGTTGTATCCATCTAGCCACCTGTACAGTTTTGTGAGCAAGCTAGAAAACATGCATACGGAGTGCTTTTCTTGCAACAAGTTGCATTCGGACAGCATTATGGATGTATTTACAATCGTGAAAGAAAAGTTTTCCCAAGAAGTTGGGTGTGCACAACATGCCTCTGGCCTCTCAAAAGACGTAATCAGCTTGTATATTGTTACGCGGTTACACTTTTTTGTGAAAGGCATTAATGCTGATAGAACAGAGAAGCGCGAAAAGGCAAAGCATACAAAGTTGAGCCGCTGCTGTAGAACAAGAAATATCAGGTATGCAACTGCGCCCAATATCTGATTAATAAAGTTTCATGCACTTGTGCCCAGTACTTGGGGAGAGTGGCTTCCTGTTTTTCTAAATCTGTGGATTTTCACAGTCCTTGCATAGGACTATTCAGTCGAGAAATAGCCAAGTTACAGAGCCAAGATAATGGAGATGCAAAAAGAATGAGTAGCTTAAAATTTTTAAATGCTGTGAACTGTATAACATTAAGAGTCCGTGGTAAACTCCAGAGCGTGTGCCAAGGTCAGCATCGGTAATAATTTCACACGCTCGTAAAAGGCGTGCGTGGCGAAAGTAGGGCCCAAGAAATGCAAAGAATCCAGTTTAAAATTGATAGCCGCACACCGTAAGCTTTCAAAATTTCGCCATCGCTGCTTATCACTCGTAAGAGAATTTAAATTCAGCTAATATTTGCACAGCATCCCTTGTATGCATCGAGTTCTGCATGCAGTTTAATCGCGCGAGTTACGCCGACAGAGTTTATGAAAAAGAATGTTTTCTACAGCTTTATTCGCACGAGTACTGATGGTATTCGGTGTGTTTCATTGAACATCAGATAACGAGCTAACAGCATAGCTGCATACACCATGCTAGTGTTCTAGATGGTTACCTACGCACACACGTAGGCCAACGGCCTACGCACCTAGCTTGGACGCTAGTTTTCTTTCTTTATTTTTATTGTCGTAGCGACATCAGCATTACCGTTTACACTGCCGAAATTCGCGTGCATTTTCGTCCAGTGCATGTGATAACAGCGCACAAAAAGCATGACTTCAGTTGCGCACCAACGCCTCCATCAGGCAGTGCCCTACATTGAAGTCGCTGGGGGCGCCACCACACGTGTGACATACACGGCGTCAAGCAGGGGACCCCAGCAAGCCCACTACCCTATTCTAGCTCACTTTAGTGTAGGCTCTAGCAAGGCCGTTCTTTCAATTTTTACTGCGCTGCATGTTCCACGCCGGTCTGGTGTTTCTTTAAATGCGATACAGCTCTTTGACTAACATGTGCAACGCTGTCTCTCCCTCCGCACCGCTCCCCTCACCGCAAGTGCTGGCGTGGTGTCAAGTAGCTCCTTTCTCTAACAGTGCGCGGTAACGTGTCTCTCCGTCGCGTTCCGCGCGCTCGCCGCATCTCAGCAGCTCTGTCTCGCTTCACCCTCTCCACCGCTCGTAACACTCGAGCCCACTTTTCTCTCGGGAATAATCTCATCCGCGCCACATCTCTCCATCTGTCGGCTAGAAGAAGCCGTGTACCGGCGGGTGCGCATGCTGTGCGCGCCTCTAGTCTCGTGGCGCCGACGTTGCGGACAGAGCGCCTCTGCTTGCGGCGCGATCGCGCCGACGGGCGGGACGCCGTCGTGGCATGCTTCCCGTTAGTGTGGGCGTACCTTTCCCGGCTGTCGCCGGCGTTGCGAGGGTTAGTGAAGTGAATCGCGTTCGCGAATGGCGACGTCAACACCAACGAGGCGCGAGCCAGGGAAACCGAACAGACAGACAGGCAGGCAGGCAGGCAGGCAGGCAAAGAACTTCATTAATATCTGGAGGTGGCGCTCAACCCACCTTAAGGGGCGACACCAGTGGGCCACTCCCACGACGAGACGGAGAGGTTAAACTCTACGGCTATGTCATGGGCCCTCTGGATGGCGCTAAGCTGGTCTGCTTTGTCGTGGCTTGTGAGGAGACAGGTTTAGTCCGCCTGTGTAGAGGGAGATTCGCTGCTCTCTTGCAACGCAGGGCATTGCCACACCGTGTGAGCAATGTCGGAAAGGGAATACCAGCGACATTGACGAGGTACGAGCCAAAAGCAACGATCGCGTTCGAGAATACAGACGGCACGTGGGTAACACCGACGAGACACGAGCTGAAGAAGCCGAGTGGAAGCATCTCTAATGCGTCCCGCCTCCCATGTCTTTGCGCTTCAAACAAACGTTTACTCGAGTAAACGCTACACCGAGGTTCGCTTCAAACCGTTCATCCAGCACCTACATCAACGCCCGTTTCAACCAGGTACACCCCGTGCGCACCACTGCTACTTCGCATTCCGTCAAGGTTCCCTACAGAGAGAAAGCCCATAGTTTTTTTTTGGGCGAAGCTCCTCGAGGCATGGATCTGTAGTCCCTGATGTATGTTGTACGTAGAAGATTCACCTCTAGGTGATAGTTGTTGGTGAAATAGACCAATGCAGATATTTTAAACAGATGCGAGACGTGGTACTCGTGTTCACTAGAAGGATGGACGGACGGACAGACAAGCAGATGCTGTTTTGCCAACATCACAGAAGCACGTGTGAAATTCCGCCTCAGTGAAAACTCGAAAAGAAGCGAACCTCGTGCAAATTTTGTTCTCTCAGAACGGATAAGACAGATGCTTGGGCTAGTTCGTGATTGGGAATCAACATATCTGCACAGCGCAAGACGAGTAGTTACGACGTAACCTATTCTTCTGTAGTTACGTCGTAACTACTCGTCTTGCGCTGTGCAAATAAGTTGACTCTCAGAACGGAGTTTCTTTAGTGCTACAGTGTTTATTTTGAGACCACCGTTGGCCACCGTTGACGAGATATTCAGCTGCACGCGCAAGAACCACACCGAGATCTTTGAGCGTGTGTTTCTTTACTCATTCGACGTTGCCTCGGGGTTTCGATGTGAACGAATGCAGCAGACTGGATGTATAAATGAAACTGCTTTTTTTGGCCGCACCTGTGGCTGGTAAACTGAAAATTCAATTACGGCGACACACACTGGTACTGATAGCGGCGCACCAAGTACATCGTCGACCATCGATCAACTGACAAGTGGTGAAGCGCGTGGGCATTTATACATTTGGCGTGGAATATGCCAGCCTTATGACTTGGTCATCGCGCAAACTCTTGAATAATTTTGAGTGTTCACGGCTTGCACGCAATCCATGGAGCCGCGATCTCAAGAGAACACTCTACAATAATCACGAACATTTTAGAACAATGAGGCGCCCTTTGCGCTGAACAATTATTACAGGCTTTGTGGCCGAAAAGCAAATCAAACAGAGGTGAAAAGAAGAAATCCACGTTGCACTGCCTCCATCTCAAAAGCATCGTCCCGATGCTTGAAACAGAATACGGGGGATACACTCATAAACAAAACACAACAATAAATTACGGAAATAAGTAGGTACAAGCTATAAAGAACAATAATGAATAAACAACAAAAATACAGCTCTTGGGATTGATAACGTGCGTAGAATGGCTTTAGGCACCCAACATGACTTCAGGCCGCGTGCACTGGAGATA